CCGTTTTCTAGGGGTGGGAGGTATGTATTTCAAATCAAACCCTCACACATGCTAAGCATGTGCTCTACCACTGAGTTATACTGTCAGGCTCTAAGGTCTTGTTATTCCTCTTTCCTGCAGGCTTTGTTACTTCATCAAACCGCATGAGGACCTCAAGTGGGGAGGAGGTGAACTTGAGAAGAATCTATGAAGTCCATGTAAGTCCCTAGGGCCAGTGGCTCCTCATGACTGTCATGGTGTTGGTCTTCCTTCTACCCACTCTCCAGCATGGGTCAAGTGAGGTTCAGGAGGAAGCGTCTCTCTCATGGCACCCCAGTGTGGGCCACGCCTCTTCCCTTACCCTCTGGTGCCTGCAGGTCAAGATGGACAACAGCCTGGAATACCAGCCAGTAGAATGTGCCATAGTGATCAATGCCGCAGGAGCCTGGTCTGGGCAGGTCGCAGAGCTGGCTGGTATTGGGAAGGGGCCGCCCGGCACCCTGCAGGGCACCAAGCTACCTGTGGAGCCAAGGAAAAGGTAGCCTCCCTCAGGGCAGCTGAGGAGTTGGTGAGAGAAGGAAAGAGATGATACAGAAGCTGGTTGTGCACATGTGCGTGTGTAGGTGGGGCGGGGAGGGTCACCAGCCATGCTGTTCTTATGACCCTAACCTCATGGTCATGGCAGGTATGTGTACATGTGGCACTGCCCACAGGGGCCAGGCCTGGAGACGCCCCTGGTTACAGACACCAACGGAGTCTATTTCCGCCGGGAAGGATTGGGCAACAACTACGTAGGTGGCCGTAGCCCCACTGAGGTAAGCTAAGCTGGTGGCAGAGTGGGTACAGGCTGGGAAGGAGACACGGGCTATGAGATAGGCTTTGGGGGCCCCCTGTGCTGTGTTACTGATATTTCAGTGCATTCAGTTAGAATTAGGAATTTTTTTTTTTTTTTGAGACAAGGTCTCAGTATGTAGTGCAGACTGGCCTAGAACTCGCAGCAGTCCTCCTGCTTCAGCTTCCCAAGTGCTGGCATTATAGGCGTGCACATGCTAGACAGAATTGGGATCTTTTATCCTCCCATGCCCCACCTAGTAAAGGGACTGATGATGTGGGTCTGCCTGCACGTCCCAGGCACTACAAGTCTAAGCCTTGTCCCCACCTCTCCCCCAGGAGGAAGAACCAGATCCAGCAGACCTGGAAGTGGACCACGACTTCTTCCAGAACAAAGTGTGGCCCCATCTGGCCCAGCGGGTGCCAGCATTCGAGGGTCTCAAGGTAACTGGCAGGGGTGGCTTTTTCTGTTTGTGTTTGGACAGTGGATAGGATGCATGCCAGTGGAGCATCCTGGTCCCCTTGGACGTGTTGTTGCCATGTTCCCTCCACCTCTGAACCGCTAAGGAATCTGTGGAGACCACGGCCTCGCTGAGGCCCTCATCCTCTGCACCCACAGGTTCGCAGCGCCTGGGCTGGCTACTATGACTACAACACCTTTGACCAGAACGGCGTGGTGGGCCCCCATCCGCTGCTGGTCAACATGTACTTCGCTACAGGCTTCAGCGGCCACGGGCTCCAGCATGCCCTGGGTGTGGGCCGCGCCGTGGCCGAGATGCTGCTGAATGGTCATTTCCAGACCATCGACCTGAGCCCTTTCCTCTTCAGCCGCTTCTACTTGGAGGAGAAGGTCCTGGAGCAAAATATCATCTGAGCTTGGGAGCTCCACAGTGGGCCCCACTGCCCAGGTCCTCCCAGCAGTGTGCCAGGGCCTCGTTCCCTTCCCCATCGTCGTCTCGCTTTGGCCGGGCAGCCCAGCGAGCACAGGCACTGAGCCCCAGGCCAGTAGCAAGGGGCAGGGCGGGACCCTCAGCCTGATCTCTAGCCAGGCCTGTGCCTCCCAAAGTGGGCCAGGGCCTCAAGTCCTGAGCACCCAGCCCAGATGCAGTGACTTGTCTGTGAACCCAGCTATTGATCCATAAATGTGATGAACCCCTTCCCTGCAGTCTTTGGTTCCAGTTTCTTCCTAAGGCAGAAGCTCTCGAAGCATTCCAGAGCCTTCCCTCCTGGGGTGTGGGAACCGCAGCCCCATCCTCCTCCAGGAGCCTTCCCGGCTTCCCGGCGGTGAGCGTCTCTGTGAGCTAGTGGCCTGTCCTGAGTCCCTGCAGTGACGTGGGTTGTAGAGGGAGGAGGGGGTGCTCACTCATCTGTATGTGTATACTCCACGTGTATTCAGGGTTACATCCTGGAGATACAGCAGCAAGCAAAGCACAGCAAGGTGCTCAGCCCTCCAGAGCAGGCAGCAGTGAACACTGCAGGGCAGGCCCCAGACAAGGTTGCCTCTGCCAGGGAGGAGTCTGTCCGTGGTGCTTCCCAGGGTGCTGACCTCCAAGCCGAAGCAAAAGGACAAGCAGGGCGGACTCACTCGGCACAGGGAAAACCTCGTTGGAGGCCCAGAGCGAAGATTACAGATTCAGAGGCTGCGGTAGCACAGTACTTAGACTGGGTCATTCATAACCAATAGCTGTTGGCTGCTCGAAGTTCTAGGGGCTGGAAATTCCAGGATGCTCATTGATGATCTGGTAAGGGCTGGCTGCTTCAAAAATTCAAATTCTCGATGCATCCTCAGCAAGAATAAGGCAGCTCCTGTCCTGCTCTTTTAAAACAGGATCTGTCTGTGAAGTTCAGGCTGGCCCTGGACCCACAGGCTGATCTCAGACTTGCAGCAATCCTCCTGCCTCAGCCTCTCAAGTGCTGGGATTACAGGTGTGCACCACCACACCTAGCTGATCCTCTTATAACCCGCTCTGATCCCACTTATGTAGGGAGAGCCCTCAGGATTTAATCATTCCCCAAAGGTCCCACCTTTTAATACTATCATGTTGAGACCTAGGTTCCAACACAGGAATTTCGGGAGGATACCAGCATGTAGACCATAGCAGGATTCCCGGTGACCTGGGGTTCAACCCCCAGTACTGTAAAAAGCAAAACAATCACCCTGTAGTTTAGTGGTACAGTCCTTGCCTAGTACATGTGAGGCCCTGGGCTCAATCCTCAGCAGTGGAAAAATATCAAAGGAAAGGAAATCAGCCCAGCTGTCTGTGGGTAACAGATGAGGACATCAAGGCAGGCAGGGAGGCTAGGCGGATGCTGGTGCTACAGCCTGCGCAGCAGAGACTTGAACCGTCATGGTGAGGAGTAGGTAGCGTCCAGAGGTGACAGCCACAGCAGAGTGGGGCCCAGTGACTCCCAGGCGTGTGGCCCGACAGCTTGCTGGACAGGAGGCCTCCTGGGGAGATGAGGGCCAACAGGAGCAAGTGGGGTTCTCCACGGGGGCTGGATTGACTAGACAGAGTCAACATCAGGGAACAGGAGGAGAGTAAGAGCGGGCAGCCACGAACGACGCAGAGGGACCCTGCCCACCTTAAAGGACAGAGCACAAAGGAAGACGCCAAAGAGGTGCCTGGGGCAGGAGAAACCCAGCAGAGGATGGTAGCAAGGCAAGGAGGAAGTGGCCACCTACAAAACGAAGCATGTGAGTGGCCAAAGACCCAGGACCCAAGGGAGGCAGAAGAGGAAGAGCCAGAACCCGTGCTGAAAGAAGGAAGGAACTTGCCAAAGGGGGGTAGAGATGGGACAGGCCAAAGGACATCCACTTACTGCCCCTTAAGGTAGTTTATAGGGTGCCCCGTAGTCACTGTGCCTTCGGCACAGTCATCCCACTCTCAGGGCCCAAGAGAAGAGGCCTTCATCCAGCTCCACACCCAGAGGCTGTGCCCTTCTACGCCAGTGCTGTACAGTGTTTATGAAGAGTGCAGTCTGCAGTCCTCCACTCCTACACAGCTTTATTCTGTCTCATGGGAGAGTGAGTGTAGTGGCTCATGCTTGTAATCCCAGCACTCTGGGAGGCTGAGGCAGAAGGAACCCAAACTCAAGCCTAGCCTGGGTAATATAGCAATTTGGTGAGGCCCTGTCTTAAAATTAAATATAAGCAAATACATTTATAGCAACACGAGCCACCAGAGTCCATAATTCTGATGAGAAAAGGTAATATTGAAATGTTATGTGTGAACAACCCAAGGGCAAACTGCCTCTTAGGCAGGGCTGTGCACCCATTGGGCTAGCTGTTAAAAAAAAAAAGAAGAAATCAGATTGGAGAGGAGGGCAGGAACCTTAGGTCTACACACCAGCTCCCCTACTCCCTGCCTTCCACGTGCCTCCCTGGGGTGGTGTTTCCCACACTGGCACACGGGTGAATACTGCTCAGGAAGGTCGTATAAAGATTTCTTCTACAGTGAAAAAGTTTTGGGAACCACTACCTTTCCATGTTGTATTATCGCCATGCTCACAAATATCTTACAACTCAAAGATGAGGGGCAAAGGAGTCGCCCAGCCTTGTTTAACCCAGGACTTGCCAACATCTGGCCTGCGCCTTGCGCCTTCTCACTGTAGCTCTACCTGTCCTTGTCACCAGCTATGGGAATCACTGCCCAGTGGGGCAAAGCACGTTGCTTGGTGTCACACCCTGCTTTCAGTGTCACGGGCATCAACAGAAGGGGCTTGCAGCTTCTGGGGTGCAGGTCCCCTGGGGCTATGACCTCACAGCTGCCGCTCTGAGCCCCATTCTCCTGCTTCCCTTATCCTGTGCGTTTGGGGAAAAGCATTTACTCTCAGAAAGGCTCATCGTTTTCAACTGCACATTTAAAAAGAAGGTTATGAACACGTTGCGCACAGTCTCCTACATGGTTCAGGCTGGCCTTGAACTCTGTGTAGCCCAGGCTGGCCTGGGACTCGCTGCTATCCTCCTGCCTCAGCCTCCGGCGTGCTGGGATTACAGCCGTGTCCCATCTAGCTTGCACACAACAAATTAAAGGGTCTCTCCTCTTCTACCCGCAGCTCCCAGACCCAGGACAAAACCAGGCCTCGGGTTCCCACGGTAGCTCCGGGGACCGCCAAGCCCCTCGCTGTCAGTAGCGCGGTAGGGAGGGCGCAGCACCTCCAGAGTCACGGCCGGGGCGGGGACTGGCGGGGCGTTGTTCAGAGCTTCCTTCCGGGAACCGGGCCGCTTCGGCCGTCTAGAGCCGCAAGACTCCGTTCGGTCCCCGCTCCTGCCCTCCGCCCGCTGCCTCCGCGCCTGGATCACGTAAGCAGCGCGCAAAGGCCCTGCGGGAAAACAGTCCCTTTCTGTCGCAGCTGTTAGCTGGGGTGACGGGCCTGGCTCTGCGAAGTGGCTTCAGCCTTTCTCTGAGGATCCCGCGCTTCCCTGACCTCGCCTCCCTCCTGCTCTGCCAGCAGCTCTTGGGGGGACTGTGACAGTGTTTGGCTTTACTCAGGGTGTGGGGTCCGGGAAGGCATCGCCACCACACTCATTAACGAGCATCTACCCTGGACAAGACAGAGGGACACGCAGACAGCACAGGTTCGGGCCTCCTACCCTGGGGAGGAGACATGAATTGGAAATCACGGAGTACAGCTAAGATCCTGGAAGTAGGGAGATTCCCGCTGAGACACCCTAGCCAGGGGCCAGGGTCAGGAATGACTCAGGAAACCACAAGAAGTTGATTTTTAGACTTAAAAAAAATGAGCCAGAAAAAAAAGAGCCAGGTGTGGTGGCACGCCCATAATCCCAGCTGGGAGGCTGAGGCAGGAAGATGGAAGTTAGAGTAGAAGATAGAGTCCCACCTGGGCAGTTTAGGCCTGGGCAATTTAGCGAGATCTTGACCCAAAATAAAAAATAAAAAGGGCTGTGGTTGTGGCTCAGTGCAGAGGCCCTGGGGTCCACCCCCAATACAAAGAGTATGTGGGTACATACATAGGAAAAGTGCTCAGAGCCTACACGTACAGCTCAGCATTTCCCGCAAAGCGTCTGCTAGAACAATCAGCAAACCATTACCTGCCCTCCCCACCCAGATCTTTTATGACCACTTCTGGTCACTGCCTCTCCTCCCAGGGTGGTGACTAACCTGGCTTCTGACACCATAGAATAGCTCGGCCTGGTTTGGGGTTTTCAGCTGATGAAGGCCTGTGTACTTGTGTACACTTGGCGTTTTGTGTCCAGCAGTGACTCACTCTCATTGAGGTGTAGTATTCTGCTGAGTGATAGCTCACGGGATTTATTCACCCCCCCCTGGACACTTGCACTGGCACACGCTGTGGTTTCCAGCTTGGGATCACCTTGAATAGTGCACAGGTACTCATGTGGATTCCCGAGTGTGTGTCTCGGTGAACACAGGGACACACTTCCACTCCTAAGTGTGGAATTGCTGGGCACCTGTGTGCAGCGTTAGAACATGGTACACAATGGTTCTCCAAGTAGTCGCGCCAGTTTACACACTACCAGCAGTGTACGCACGTTCTGCGCCTTGAACACCCTGTATTCGCAGGGATGCTACAGACTCTCTGCACCGGGACTTGTTCAACCCGGACCCTCTGGCACATGAGTGCTGGGCGCAGTGGTTATGCACTGAGGCGGGATTTGCATTTCTCTGACGGTGCATCTTTTCCTCTGCCTCTTGGCCATTTGAGTATCATTTTGTGCAGTCCCTATGCAGTTCTTCTGCCCATTTGTGTGGTGTGGAGTGGAGATTGTACCCACTATGAGCTACACCTCAAAATGGAGCCCATTTTTCTAATAGGTTGTCTTTCTCTTAGTAGTTTGTAGTTACTGAAATATTGAGGACATACAGAAAGATATGACTTGAGTATATATTTTTTAACATTTTCTCAGCAGACTTTTACTCTTCTAAGGATGCCCTTTTTGTTTTTTTTGTTTGTTTGTTTTTGAGACAGGGTCTCACTATGTAGCCCAGGCTGGCCTAGAACTCATGGCAATCCTCCTGCCTCAGCCTTCCAAGTGCTAGGATTACAGGGCTATGCCATCACAGCCTGTGAAGGATGCCTTTTAATGAAGAAAGTTTGCATTTTAATATTTTCCAATTTACCACCCTGTGTTTGTATGATTTATGAAAAATATCTTTGTCTGCCCTAAAGGCAGGAAATCACTTCCTATATTTTACTATTCACAGTTACAGCTACTATCCATGTGAAATTGATTTGGGGGGGGGCAGGAGGCACTGGGACTTGAACTCAGGACCTTGCACTTGCCAGACAAGCGCTTATTCCACTAAGCTATATCCCCGGCCCTTTAACTGATTTTTTGTATGGTGTGAAAGGTGGGTTGAGATAAATTTTTCCAACAAGGCTATCTAAATTGGCCTAACACCATTTTGTTTTTGAGGGTCTCACTATGTCGTGCAGGCTGGCCTTGAACTCACTATGTAGCCCAAACTGGCCTCAAACTCAGAGCCACCCTCCTGCCTCAGCCTCCCGAGTGCTGTGATTATACGCATGCACCACCATGTCCAGCTTCATGCCCAGTTTTCTAACACATTTGTTGACAAGACCATCTTTCCCCACTGCATTGCAGGGTCACTACTGACGTGAATCAAGAGCTTGTACGGTTGCGGGTCTCCACATTGGTCTCTGTCTGATCTTCACCACCACTATCACTACCTTAATCACTGTTGCTTTATAATAAATCCTCATTATCCTGGTAGTACATACTTTAGAATTATTCTCCAAGACTGAAGGTTGACTTGGGGCTCGAGTAATTGCCTAGCATGCAGAGGCCTTGGATTTGATCTCCAGCCCTGGAAAAAAAGGTAGTAAAAAAAAAAAAAAAAAAAAAAATAGTTATTTTGTAAACTCAAAAGGGGACCAGTGTATGAAGGTGTATAATTCCCATTGTTTGTAAACTGCATCCAACCGTAAATGCACTGCAGACATAATCTATTTTACATTCAGTGCCTGGTTTTTTGTTTTGTTTTGTTTTCAGCGCTGGGGATTGAACCTAGGACCTTTGCACTGAGGTGTATCCCCAGTCCTTTTTAGTTTTTTTTTTTTTGAGACAGCTTCTCAGAAAGTTGCTAAGTTGCTGGGCTTGAACTTGTGGTCCTCCTGCTTCAGCCTCCCAACTGCTGAGATTACCGTTATGTGCTACCACACCTGGCAGACATGTGGTCCCCTCTTAATATCCCACTTCTTCTTCATCTGTTGAGATGGAGCTGTGCACAAACATGCTTGCACACACATAAACACACGCACTGTTCATATATGTGGCATATACATACACATTTTATGTACGGTTCAGATGTACATCTATGCAGGTGTATGTATATATCATACATGGGAGTGGAATTGTGCTGGGTGCATCCCATCCCCTTTGCCATATTCTGTTGCTTAGACTCTGTCCATCCCATGGGCCCATGGGTCCATCCCACACTCACAGGTGTGAACTCTGGGGTCATCTAAGGTCTGTCCCCACAGTTTGAAAACCACTCTCCGAGAAACAGGTTGTACCCCTCAAGCTGTAGATATGTTCAGCACTTTGTTTTGTTTGGTTATTTGTTTTTGAGACAGGATCTCACTTTGTAGCCCCGGCTGGCCTCCAACTCACAGCAATCCTCCTGTCTCAGCCCCCTGAGTGCTGAGATTACATGTGCCATTACACCCAGCTTTTCAGCACTTTTAATTGACACTATCCAAAAAGCCCTCATGAATCCTGCCTAAATGTTTTAGAAACTGCAGTATTTGAGAACAGCTTAGCCAGGAGGGTCCAGACCAGCCTGGGCTACAAAGTGAGCTCAAGGCCAGCCTGAACTGCATAGCAAGGCCCTGGCTCAAAAAGACAAAACAAAAACAAAAACAACTTAGTAAAGTGTATGTGATGATTCACCTCAACCACCAAGCGTAGTGATGTACACCTATAATTCTAGCACTCAGGAAGCTGAGGCAGGAGGATCTTTGCAAGTTTGAGACCAACCTGGGTTATAAAGTGAGCTGAAGGCCATTCTGAACTGCATAGCGAGACCCTGTCTGAAAAAGACAAAAAAAAAACAAAAAAAGATTCACTTGAAGGTGTAAAAACCTCTTTCGAGCAATTTAAACAGATGCGTTTTCAGCCCTCAACTTGAATTCAGTGCTTCAGCATTCACTAGCCTGACCTGTGATGAGAAATAATGTCTCTGATGCTGGTCACCGCTGTGACAGATTCCCATAAACACAGTAGCTTCGCCTGCACAGATTCATTACCGCATGGTTCTGGAGGTCGGGGTCCACAGTGAGCCAGCAGGGCTTTGCCCCTCTGTAGAAGCTATCCTTGCCTTTCCAACTTTGAGAGATTGCCCACCTCCTGGTTGTGACTCTACTGTACACCTCCTCTGCTGCGGTGGCCACATCTCCTTCCCTGGCCTCTGACTCTCAGCTCCCGTTGAGGGGCCTGGAGATTGCACGGGGCACTGGGGGATCGCATGCTCCGCCTGCTGGGGTCCACAGTCACATCCAGAAGTGTCCTTCCTTCAGCGGGGAAGGTGACATCTCAGCCCCGGGGATTAGGCTGTAGACGTCTTGAGGGGACTGTTTTGTCTGCTACAGACCTTGATTCTATCGTAATGGAAATTTAATATGAATTATACAAGATGCATTCTAATCTCCATATGTAGGCCCCTTCCGAGGTTTTGGTACATTTCCTACACAATAGAAATTGGAGAGGGGCCGGGGATGTAGTTCAGTGGCACAGAGCCTGCCTGGCAAGCGAAAGGTTCTAAATTCATTCCCGGGGGCTGGGGATTTAGCTCAGCGGCACAGCACCTGCCTGGCAAGCCCAAGATCGTAAGTTCAATTCCCGGTACCAGAAAAAAAAAAACAAAAAAAACTAAATTCATTCCCGATACCCCAAAAAAAAAAAAAAAAAAAAGAAATTGACGAGTAGATGCTGAGTAATAATACACTTCATACAGCGAAGGTTCCTGACATGTCTGTCTCCTTATAAATTCCTGCATACAATATTGGAAAAGCATTCTAGAAGGCACTATAGGTATCTTGCTACTTTTTTTAGAGCAGCTCCTTCTTTTCGCTCCAATCTTTGTTATATTCTCTGCCGAGTGGTATATTATCATTCTGCTTTATTCCCCTGCCCCCTTCACTGAGACTGAACCAAGGTACTTCACACTGAGCTATATCCCTAGCCCTTTCCTTTTTTTATTTTGAGACAGGGTCTCCCTAAAATGTTAAATTGTGGAGTCTGGGGTCAAACTTACAATCCTCCTCCCTCAGTCTCCCAAAGTGCTGGGACTACAGGTGTGTGCTACCATGCCCATCCTGCTTTATGATTTTTAAACACACAGGAGCCCAGTGCAGTGGGGCACTCATGTAATCGCAGCTATACTTGGGAGGCTGAGGCAGGAAGATCAAAAGTTCAAGCTTAGGGCCAGGGATATAGCTCAGTGGCATAAGTGCCTGCTTGGCAAGTGCAAGGTCCTGAGTTCGATTCCTGGTACCAAAAAAAAAAAAAAAGTTCAAGCTTGGCTTGGACAGATTAGCAAGATCCTGTCTCAAAATTTAAGAACAAATTTTTTTTAAAGTTCTGGGGATGTAGCTCAGTGCAGACACTCTGGATTCAATCCCCAGTACCCAAAAGAACACATACACACACACACACACACACATAGACACACACACAGTGACTACATGAGGCCACACAGCAAATCTGAGAAAACTAAAACTAGCCATTGGACCTTGCAGCTGCAAATCTGAGCTCGTTACCTACACTGCTTGATCTCTGTGTCTTGCTGTGAGCACTGCGACCAAGTACAGAGAAGACCGAAGCGTGTGTGAGTGTGTGACTGCCCAGTCCTGACCTCACAGAACTGATGAGGAACAAGGAAGGCGCACGGGGTGAGACTCTGGGAAGTAGCCCTGTGTGTTCTCCCTGGAACTTCTCTGCCGTCTTGCTCAGCTCTCCTGCTAGAGATGCTGCTGTTTCCTGTGCTGAGACCTCTCTGTAATATTCACCGGGGTTACGCCGCCGCACTTCAGGTGGCATGTATTTCTGGACAACTGGACTTCTCTTCCTCCCTCCTCTTCCTCCTCCTGTTCCTCCCTCCCGCTCTTCCTCCGGCTCCCTAAGCTGGGGAAGGACCCAGGGCTTCGCATGAGCTAGGCAAGCTGTCTGCCACACCCTCAGCCCTAGATTCCTTCTTGAGCAATGAGAAAGGTAATTACCCAAAATCAGGATGTGTTGTCAGAAGGGCAAATCATTTCCTAAAACCAGAAGCTGAAACTTCTAGCTGGCGGGGGACGGGGTGCGGCACACACCTGTAATCCCAGCACTGTGGGAGTCTGAGGGAGGAGGATTGAAAGTTTGAGCCCAGCCTGGGCAATTTAGAGATTTAGTGAGACCCTGTTTCAAAGTAAGAACTTTATGTTATTTTATATTTATTTATTTTTGTCTTTTAGTTTTTGTTTTTTTGAGACAGGGTTTCACTATATAGCCCAGCTTGGCCTCCAACTCACAGTGATCTTCCTGCCTCAGCTTCCTGAGTGCTGGGATTACAGGTGTGAGCCACCATGACCAGCTAGCTGGAATTTTGAAACCTCTATTCAGTGTGTCCAATAATGAAATTTCTTTCTTTTGAGTTTCTAAAGATACCTCTTTTTTTTTTTTTTTCTTTTGATACTGGGAGTTGAGCCAGGACCAGCTTTTTTTTTTTTTTTTTTTTTTTTTTTTTTTTTTGAGAGACAAGTCTTGCTAAGTCTCTTAATTGCCCAGACTGTGCTTCAATATGGTGATCCTCCTGCCCCAGCATCCCAGAGTGCTGGGAATACAGACATGCGCCACCACTCCTGGCTGTAAGGTTTTTGCTGACCTATGCAGATCTAGTGGAAAGTGAGAAAGCAGTCCCCAAGCTGAGCTCCACACCAGCCCCTCATCTGGAGCAGTCTTTAGCAGGTTCCTGCTGCCCCTGCACCCAGGTGAGCTCTGCACCTTGTTCTTCTCTTGAAACCCAGGTGGAAGAAGCGTGCAGCACCAGATACATCCTTGTCCCGTGATGAGAAGGGGATTTGGCAGGTTCCCCAGCTAAGGTATCTTGTTCCTTTGTGTTTCCATATAAGTTTAGAAGCAATTTGGTAAATACTCCATGGAAAAACCAAAAATTAAAGCCTGGAATCTAGCCGGGTATGGTTGTGCACATCTGTAATCTCAGCAGCAACCTGGGAGGCTGAAGCAGGAGGATCACTAAATGGAACCCCGCCTGGGCAATTTAGCAATTTAGTGAGTGACCTCACTCATGGGCTCAGGTAGTTCTCCACTGCAGACCCCCGAGTAGAGGGACTTTAGATGCCTGCCACTGTGCCTGGTTAGCTTATTTGAAAGACATACTGCGCTGGGGAAGTAGCCCAAGGGTGGACTCGCATGGGCAAGGCTCTGCGTTTGATCCCTAGCTCTGCAAAGAAAGAAAAGAAAAAGAAAAAGTCATACTAACCCACAGCATTCTCAAGCGCTCATTCTGCACCACTGTCCTGGTACCCACATGAGCTCTCTGCGCACTTCCCGCAGTAAGGCTAAGAACAGTATTTCCGGTTCACAGATGGCGGCACTGAAGCTTAGCCAGGTTGCTGAGAGCCATGGTTAGCAAGAGGTGAGAATCCAGGCACTGCTGCCTGTGGCCCTGTGGTCTTGAGCTGACAGCTAAGGGCCAGGCCGGGCGGCGCAGTGGGTGGGGTTGTTGGGGGTGGGGGTCAGAGGTGGAGGAAACTGGGCGGTGCTTCCTGCATGGACTCACTCTCTGCGGCTCTGCGCTCCCCAACCTGGATGCATCATTTTCCGTTTGAACAGCAGCTGTCTTCCTCGCCTTTCAGCACTCACCGAAGTCCCCCTGAAGTGCTCCCTGTCGGCCTCGCCTCTCAGGTTCCCAGTGCCCCTGGCCAGGTGGAGCAGAAAACTATCCCCGCGCCGGTCATGCTGAGCTCTTACCCCGTAAGTCTGACCGCCCGACCCAGAGGTGATGCCTGTTCCTGAGCGCACCCGTTAAGGCGCGTTTGGAACGGAGCCCATCAGGCCCTCGGCAGAACTTCCGGGAGCCTGTGCCGGGCTGAAAGGAGGCCGTGCAGCTCCTGTGCTCTCTCCGTCCCCTGTAGGATGGCTGCTCCTCGAGGTCAACTCTGGGCCTCCTCCCAGTGCCCAGGCTGGCAGCGTTAGTTCCGAGCCCAACACAATGGCATCGTCGTCGCCTTCCCACCCAGTGCCTCGCCCACAGCCCAGGAAGCCTGTGGGCAGGGTGGCTGGTGAGTGGACCCAGGCTAACCCGCTCTTGTGCCTCGAGTGTCCTCCTCGCCCCCATGTTGGTGTGGTGGGAGGGGACAAAGGTGTGGAAGCTGAGGAGGGGACAAAGCTCCCACCAGGACTTGAGTGCCCGCCTGCTGCTTTGTGGTGGTGAGGAAGGAAATGTGTATGAGCGGATTCCTGATTCCTTGGGCTCAGAGCTTTCCAGGCCCACTCTGCCCATTTCCTTAGGTTGGAAACCACATTTCCAAGTGGCTAATATTGTGTCTTTGGTCATCTAAATCTTTGTCCCAGAGCCATTCAGAGCAAGGGGCCAAGCAGAGAGAAACCTAATCTCCACAACATCATACTATCTGTCCTTGTCAACAGCTGGGTTTTGCCAGGCGCAGAGGTGCATGCCTGTAATCCCAGCACTCGGAAGACTGAGGCAGGAGAATCACCAGAGTTGAGGCCAGGCTAGGCTACACAGTGAGTTCAAGACCAACCTGGACTACATAATGAAACCCTGTCTCAAAAGGCAAAAAAAAAATTAAAAAACAGCTGGGTTTTAACATCATTATGGAGGACTTATAATAAACCAGAAAGCAACTATACTATATACTTCAACAACAAAATTAACCCATTTTGCAGGTGAGGGAATTGAGATCAAGGTAACCTGTTGTAAGGTCATAGACACAGCAAGCAGATCTGTGTGCCAGGCTCCAAAGTGCTAGAACTGAAAGATGTGCTAAAATAATGGAGCAGTAGGTGTCTGACAGGAGAAAGGCAGTGTTTCCCAGTGCAAGGAGCTGGCGGGGTCCTGCCCATCTTCCCTTAGCCATGGGGCTCCTCACTTCGGGATCCATACGAAGGAGGCTGGGAGGAAGGCTTGGGCTGAGCGTGTGTGTTTGTCCCCCACAGACTGGTTCAGGCAGGCCCTGCTGAAGAAGCCTAAGAACGTGCCCATCTCCTCAGAAAGCCACCCCAGAGGCGATTCGCACCTGGCCTCACAGGACAGCGCCTCGCCCCCGAGCCTCTGCTCGGTCAGGTCTTCTTCCCCGCCACCAGCACACGTGGACATCAGCAGCAGTGGCCGCTGGAGCAAGGACTACGACGTGTGCGTGTGCCACAGCGAGGAGGACCTGGCTGCTGCCCAGGAGCTGGTCTCCTACCTGGAAGGCAGCTCTGCCCGGCTGCGCTGCTTCCTGCAGCTGCGGGATGCAGCCCCAGGCGGGGCCATCGTGTCTGAGCTGTGCCAGGCGCTGAGCAATAGTCACTGCCACGTGCTGCTCATCACCCCAGCCTTCCTCTGTGACCCGTGGTGCAAGTACCAGATGCTGCAGGCCCTGACCCAGGCCCCAGGGGCCGAGGGCTGCACCATCCCCTTGCTGTCAGGCCTGACGAGAGACGCGTACCCTGCTGAGCTCCGGTTCATGTACTATGTGGACTGCAGAGGCCCAGATCAGGGCTTCCACCAAGTCAAGGAAGCTGTTATGCGCTGTAAGCTGCGAGCACTGGGCATGGGAGCAGGGGAGGGACATCAGCCACCGAGCTGGACCTACAGTGGCCTTCAGGAGATGGCAGCTTAGCACCCCGTGCTCCAAGTGCAGGCTCTGGGAGAGACTGGGTTTGAATCCTTGCTCCTCCTCTCCAGAGCCTGTGAGAAGCCCCCTGGACAGGCTGTTTACTGCCTCTGGACCTCAGCTTTCTTGTTGCTCATCAGGCTTCCAGGGAGAATAGTGTATATGCTAAATAAGGGTTCAGAACATGGGGCTGGGGATTTAGCTCAGCGGCAAAAGCGCCTGCCTGGCAAGCGCAAGGTCGTGAGTTCAGTTCCCGGTACCGGAGAAAAACCAAAAAAAAAAAAAAAAAAAAAAGGGTTCAGAACGTGGCTGGCACATGCCCAGTATTCATAACAGGTGGGGCCTAGCACATACCAAGTCCTCAATACAGAGGAGCTAGTAGTACTAGAATAGTATGGGGCTCCCCCTGGGATGGGGTTGGCCATGTCCACCCAAAGCTGAGCAGATACAAGGAGGGAGATCGGCTTAGTAAAGCAAAATGCAGCAAAGTGATAGGAAGGAAATGCTCACAGAAACCATGCCCAGGGCAGGGGATTTTATTATTGCATTTGGAAGAAAATAGAGTAGATAGAAGGCAGAAGTGGTGGGGCCCCACTGGGGAAAAACGGAGATGTGGGGTTTGGAGAGAAAGACAATCTTTGTGATTCTGTTGGGTCTCTTACAGATCTACAGACGCTCAGCTGAAACTTCTTGTGTGGTCATGGGACCCAGAAAGTTGAGCTCAAGCGGGAAATACCTCGTACAAGGCTGCAAATTCCAGGAGAGATGTCAGGAGGCTGCAGGAGCCAGTGTCTGCTGTGCTTTGTACATGACCCTGGATCAGACTGTCCGTTAGGCCTCCATTACTATCAGCTCCCCAGGAAAGCCACAGGGACGTGGGGGACTTCCCCAGGAAGGCCAGAGGATGTTGGGGACTCCCCCAGCAAGGCCAGGAAGAAGCTGGGGACATCCCCAAGAAGGTCAGGAGAAAGCCAGAAATTGAAGGTGGTGAGGTGGGTGCTAATACTTGGAGGAGCAGCAGTGTTTGGTGTGCTGCCGAATTGGACAGGAAGTCTAGCACACACCTGCGTCCTTCCCCGGGATGGGCTCTGGTGCACACAGGCCTCCTTCCCAGTGATGAGCTGGAAGCTTAAGTTGCAGCCTCAGCATGAATACTCTTTCCGCTGTATGGGGAAGTCCCAGAACAGGCGTCAGGAGAAAGTAACAGATATCGAGTCCTTCAGGCTCACACTACTGCTGTCCTCTCTCCCGGAGACATCAACTTGCTTCCAAACGCTAGGTGGAAGTGCATTCAGCACTGCACTTTATTTTTGCATGATCGCCACTGAAATGCAAGCCCAGAGCCAGGGGAGAAGCCGGGGGTAGGGTGCGTGCCTAGCACGCATGAGGCTCTGGTTTTCAGCCCCAGTGCCAAAAGCTTAAAAAAGAAAACAGTGCAAACCTATGAGTCATTCTGAATGTACTGGAAACGGGGGCAGCAGGTGGGGAGAAGAGAAGGAAGCTGGAGTTCGGGGCTCAGCCCCTTCGCCTGGTTCAGAGCCTCACTGATCCTTGACAACCCAGGGCTTCATCGCAGGGCCGGCTTAGAGCCAAGGCATTCACTGCAGCTGTCTTCACCTTTGGACTGAGAGGAATCAGCATTTTTCTTCTGGGAGAAGCCTGCGCTCTTCGTAGGTCAGCCAGGTTTCTTGCGTCTGTGCCCAGTAAGTTTGTTGAACTGAATGTTTCTCTCCCAATGCACTTTATGCCCCTTTACTCACTTCCCCCATCACATCACCCCCTTTTTTTTTTTTTTTTTTGTCTTTGTCTTTTTAGACAGGGACTCTCAGTTCAAGCTGGCCTTGA